TATTTCTTACAGGTGTTCCCTGCACAGGTTGGATTCATAGTGATCCTCCTGTCTCAGCCTCCTCACTACTGTGAATATAGGCATATGCCACTCCACTCAGTTTTGGTGGAATTAAGGGGCAGTCATGGCATGCAGTTCGAACTTGGGTCCTTGTGCTTACCAGAAAGTCACTTAGACCCTGGACATATTTCTCCAACCTTGTTTTTTCTTGTCTGCTAAGGTGAGATTGGTTTTTTGGATCTATTTTTATTCTTTATAGAGTCAATTGTTTAATGCATTAATTTTTTTTTTTTTTTGGTGGAACTGGGGATTGAACTTAGGCCTTTGTGCTTGCCAGGGAAGCGCTTATTCCACTAAGCCATCTCCCCAGCCCCATTAATGCATTAATTCTTGGTACTGTTTTCTTAGTCCCATTTGTGTTAATGTCTACTTTGATCTTTATAATTTCCTCCTTTCTTGGACTTTGGGCTTAACTTGCTCTTGTTTTGCTAGAAACATGAGGTGGAACATTAGTTTTTTTTTTGTCCTTGTTCTGTTTTGCTAATGTGAGAATTGACTGTTATAATGTTCTCTCTAACAGTGGCACTCATTGTGTCCGACACAGTCTGGTGAGTTTTTTTTTTTTATTTCCCTTTTATTATAGATACCACTCAACTTCTTTCATTTCATTTCATGTTTCATATTCATTTCATATTCATTCTTATTCAGGAGTGCATTATTTAATTTCTATGTGTTGGAGTTTTTATGGTTTCATCGACCTTCTATTTTCAATTTCATTGCACTATAGTTAGGAAATATGCATAGGATAATTTCACTTCCTTTGCACTTCCATAAGCATATTCAGTGGGTCAGTATATGGTCTATTCTAGATAACACCTGTGCAGATGAGAATGTTTATTGCCATGTTCTTGATTAGAACACTCTGTAAATATCTAGAAAGTCTATTTTTTCCACAGGATTGGTTCTGTTATATTATCTCATTACTGATATTTTGTGTACTTGATCTATCTGTTTGTGACTATGGAATATTAAGTTCCCTTGTTACAATTATGTCATTGCTTACTTGATTTTTTTATGTCTATCAATGTTCTAGTTTTGAATTTACAAGGGGAAATAAAACAGGATATATAATTCAATTCATAAGATGATTTTATAGTAGGTACCCCGACGTAAGCACAAATAGTGCTGGAAATCTGTCTACACACTAAAGACCAAGATAATCGACCCCAGGTTTTTGATCTCAAAGCAATATCCTACATGACTCTGTCTAGCTGAAGACCTAGAACCTATCGTAATGCACCCCATGAATCTAACTGGAAATCAAGTGTTTATGGCAATATCTCATACACACCCATGTGATTGTGGTACACTAGAAGGATCCAAAGGTCAGTGTTAGAAGTTATAATGGCTGTGCCAGCAGGATAAAGTGTCTGTGCCAGCAGGCTGAGGGACCTGTACTAAAGCCAGAAATTGACACTCAAATAAGTACCACTACTTTTCCAAGAAGTACCAAAGCCATCATAAGTGACAAGAAGGTCCTGACCTCCTCCCATAAAATGAACAACCAGATCCTTATGCGAAGGCTGGGTGGCGAACT